AAAGAGAGAGTAGTGTTTGCGACTAATGTAGGAGAAAAGGAGATGACACATTTTTCTCAGTACATAGGTAATAACAACAGATAAGTACAATGCCAGAAACACGATTTTTTAACTACTCGTTAGTGTGCGTGTGTCGGCATTTTGTTAACGCACACATTCAAAAACAATGCCACAGTTTTTGGTGTCGGGGCCTATCTAACGATATAAATCTATGTAAGTTACTATGTTAGTCTACGATCTAATTTTTAATGCCATTCATAAAGCTATATGCAGTTTAAATACTTACCACCCGTAGATTCTTCTGCAAACGCAAGCGTGTATGTTAGTTGCATTAAAAATGCAGTTTGTATAGGAATATTTTAATTCCTACCATAACACCGTCAGTAATAAAAGAAATATGATAGGATAATGTACTAAGGAACACTTCCAAATGATATTTAATAAATGCCACCTATAAATTATTACTATAGTCGACGCATTAAGAACTGAGGCTTCGAGTCATAAATCATATGTATTTGTCTGTCTCGCTCGCACTTACAGGTCTTATGGAGAGGTGTAGTGATGTGCGTGAGAATTGAAGAGGTGCATATCGATAACGGGATAGGTACGATCGATATTGTAAATTAAGTTAAGTACTAACAGGAAAAATCTGCTATCTGAAAATAAGTTTTTAATTTGTAAGATTATCTTCACTATTTATTTTTTCAAAACCACGTTAGAAAATAAATTCTCCATTGTGCGTAACGAAGCGTAAGTAATGTCATAACAAAAATTTTTATATTTATAGAAACCCAACAACTCGTAACGACCAGTTAGGAGTGCGTGCGCAGGTAGCTCAGTATCGATAATGCAACCTCATTACGTGCACATTCCTACTGTCAGTGACATTTATTGCCCGACGACTCAGTTTGACATGCGTCGACTTTAGTCAACATTTACAAGACAGTCAAAGAAAATAAGACATATAAAACAAAAACCAGCAGAAAAAGCGCAAAATGCATAGCATATAGTGAATATATTAAAAAAACTAGGATAAGATTCAGACCAAAGTTCGGAACCAATCCTTCGCGAATGCGATAATTTGTTTTAAAATAAGTGTTGTTTGCCATAGTCAATTTGTATGATGATTTGCTATTTAAAGAGTACCGAAAGTTTTTTACGCCTGCTTTTTCTCTCGGCCTATACCCTCTGTCTTCTTTGCCGATGAGTAGGGATGACTACCGATTCGAATTTAATGACGGAATAAGTGATACCTGTATCTTATATTCCATAATTATAATATTTTATTTTATTTTTTAATTCGCATTTTGAAGTCAATTGCAAGCGTTATTTAATGAACCTGAAGTCTCGACTCTGAATCTTACCCAGACTTTTTTATTATATAGCTAAAATTTCATATTTGTTGCTTAAAATTAAAACCATATGTAAACTTCATCAAAGCCCACAATTATAAATCTCAAATACGATTTGGCATTTTTCGTACAAAAATGCTTCGCTATTAACAAAGTGACAAGATAACAAAAACTGCTCCTTTTAGGCAATAAACTCTATATTAATCTGAGGATAATGACGTATGAGAATGATTATTGATAAAAACTTTCATACAAGTATACTTTGGCATTCTGCAATCGTCCCAAAAGACGAAAAGACAAAATTTGCGAGAATTTATTTTAATTTCCTTTTAACTTACCTTAAATCTATTAAACTGCCTGCTATATTTCCCTCTATCAGAGGCGACTAGACTTCTTAAGGACTGCGTTCTAGGACAATCGCCGTCGGCCAACCATTGATACGTACCGAATAATTTTGACGTATCCGACCTGTTTAAAATCAAATCGTCTAAATTCTCAGGTGGATACACCACTTGAAGGAAAGTAACCTAAACACTAGAGGCAGCAAATTTTCAATAAAACGGAATTTACAGAGTTAAAAATATTCGAAGCGTGATTGCTTCATTAATTTAAATCAAAATTAGATTTCTGTTAATTTTACCACGTTTATTAGGAATTCTTAAACCCTATATATCGGTGCCATTATATAACGAATGTCGAAACGGTAGCGCGTGTCGCTTGTTTGTGATTGGTTAAACTGGAAATCTCATCGCACGCATATGGGGTTGTAATTGAAATAGACACAATGAATTTGAAAAGAAATCAATGTTCGCTTAGTACGATGTGGTTTTTTATCTTTAATGTTGGCTTGTCTAAACTTTGCTATCTGCAGTACAAAATACGATTTTTTTAATGGATTTAAACAAATTATATGAACATATGCAATTCTGCAATAGATTTTAAACAAGAAATACGACGCAGAAATTATCTTCATCCTCAAACATAAGTATATCGTAAATATTCGTGTCTAAAATTATTAAAATCAATGTCTTAGAAAGAAGGAGCATAACGCCCATGCCACCAAGCAACAGACTGACATTTAACCACAGAGTACATTCATTTGTTCCACAGACAAGACAATATGTTATTTGACAGTATGAAAAATAAAG